CTTCAAGGGAGACCTTCTGCTGCAGACCTCAGATGCAGCATATCAATTTTAGATCATACCACACTGGCTACATATTTTAGAAAGCCGTCATGTTTCATCAGATATGGAGCAAAAGGCATCTCAGTAAACAAAAAAGTCCCAAAATACTCACAAGAGTAAACTACCTTGGTGATTCAGTGAATGGCATTTTTCAAGATGAGTTTTAACTTTTAATGTTTCCATTTTAGGGACACACTAAAACACCCAAATCACACAGCTGCAATTGCCCCAAGTCCTGTTACCCCCTCTATTCCTTTATAGGATCCCTCAGGAAATTTAAAAGGAGCCAATGGGAAATCGTTTTCACACTGAGCTGGCAAAAATTCCATCTATTCCCAACACCATTAGGTCCAACTCCTGAAACTAGAGGAGAAGTCACTCCCCACGTCCCTCGCTCCCCTCTGCATAAAAGTAGCAAATTAACATTATTGATCTGACCAAATTCTAAGTTGGGCAATTACGTTTGGTCTCTTCACAGTCATCTGATCTCTCAACAGAAATAGTCCTCACATCACATCTGAAACTCTGAGGAATTTTTCTTCCAGTTAAAATAGCTACTATGCACCAGCAGTGAGTTCCAGTGATCTCTTTAGCTGACTTAACAACTCACAGGAGTCTTGTGTGACCTAATTAACAAAAGCTTACAGGGAACTTGCAGATCCTTTATTTAGAAGTAGTATAAAAATAACAAATCTTATCAACACATACAGGGTAAGAGAGAAAGTTAACAACCTTACTGGTGTTATTCTGCTGCCTCAACAGAAGTCAATACACTGGTCTGGGGAACTACACGAGGGTTGAGCACACACATTTCACTGTAACATGCAATTTTGCATCTTTATCCACCTCCGTGCCTACACCAAAGTCTCCCCAAGGTTTGTTCTTGCTTTTCTGCTCTCTCTTCTGTGTCCCTCTGGAGCAGCACGAGAACAGGCTCAGCTGCTTACAGTGCTACACCAGTAATCTTTCTTTTCTTTCCTTTCCTCCTCCACTCCAAATTAAGTACAGCATTGGGGAAGGGAATCACTGGCATCCTTTGCTTGTTGCCTTTGCAGCACTGGGAAACAATAAGCAGAACCTTCCTTTCCATTTCTTAGGCTTCCCACAAAGTGACACGGTTCCCTTGTCCAAATTAATCTAAAGAACAATACAGAGTATTAGAGGCAGGCAGAGCAATTCCAGGGGACACTGGGTCTGTGCAGTTACTGACAGCACACAAATACAGGGGTAAGTGTGGACACACACACAGCTGGTCAGCTGTGCTGATCACAACTCCACCCACAGCCTGAGCAGCTCAGGGGAATGTGGTCACACAGCACACATTTTGAACACTCAGATCCTGTGAACTCCCTCCTCACCACCTGTACAACGGCAGTGCAAGTAGGGAAAGCCAAACCAAGTGGGTTAAATAAAACAGTGGCCTTTTTTTGACAGAAAGGAGTTATTAATCTTATTGTTCCAGTGCTCTCTCAGCAGCCTGGACACAGGCAGATCAGAACTTCTCTTCATTTTCCAGTGTCATGACACTGTACCTGCACACAGATTACATACTCAAACAGGGGGAAAATGTGCTTTATCCTAGAATCACAAACAGCCCGGCTTGGAAGGGACCTCTGGAGCTCATCTAGTCCAACCCCCCTGCCATGGGCAGGGACACCTTCCATTAGACCTGTTTGCTCCAAGCCCCATCCAACCTGGCCTTGGACACTTCCAGGGATGGGGCAGCCACAGCTACTCTGGGCAACCTCTGCAAGGGCCTCACCAATTTGTAGAAGTTTTCTTCCTTATATCTAGCCTGAATCTCCCCTCTTCTACAGTTTAAACCCCTAACTTATCCTGTTGCTACAGGCACTCCTAAGAAGTCTGTCCCCAGAACCACAGAAGTCATATCATCTTTACTCCTTTAAAAGTATTAAATATTTAAGTTCTATTTATGATTGCTCAATTGGAAAAAACCCAAAATATTATTTTTAGGCAGGCCTAGAATTTCTGACAAGGTTATCATTAGAAAAAATATGCAACATAAATAACGAATTCCGGTATCTTCCATATCAGTATTATTTGTATCCCTTTCCAATTTGAGAAAAACCTCTGCCATTTTCAAACTACCTGTTGTTTTGTTACCATTTAAAGTGTTATATGATCAGAATGCAACCACTCAGACCTTAATGTGACACTACAGTAAAGCAAAGAACACAATATACATCTTTCCATTCCAGATTCATTTCAGGCACAGCCCTTTCTCTAAGAACTCATTACAGACAAATGCCTTTTTCTCTCAGACCATCGCTCTGCTTTCACCTTGATAGCAAAAATTACAAGACTATCACAGCCCTCTGTGTAGTACAGTGAACTCAGGCTGATCTTTCTAATATCTGTTTCGCAGACATCTAAACTGCAATTGCTGTACAACTCCTATAACTCAAAGCCCTCCAAGCTTCCCCACGCTCAGATTATTCCCGGTACTAGCACAGACTCTCTGTGGACAGAAGGAAATGAAGAAGATTCCCAATATTTTACACCAACTAATTTTCTACAACTGTCTCAAAGCTGTGCTTCCCTTCACCCTTCCATTCCTCACTGTTCTCCTCCTCCCTCCCATTTTCTGTCAGCTGAGCTACCTTATCTTGGAACCACACGGAATCCCTCTCCAGGCAGCGTTTAATCACTCCAGTCTTCCTGGCTATTACATCCCAGCTCCTATTGTTTAATGAAAGACAAACACAAACCCTACAGTGGAGCTCAGCAATACAATGAAGGCGACTGATTGGAATTTTTAATTGAAACAAACTTGAGTCTTTCAAACCATAATCCAGGTAAGCAGTTCACCCAAAACCACGAGGTGAACATTTCAGCCTATTCAGAGATGATGAGAGATGCTGCACATGCTGTCTGGCAGCACTGCTGGTACCCCTTACAGGCACTGACCTACTGAAATCATCTGTGGAACAGCCAGAGTTTGAACTTGCCCTACAACAAGGAACTTTTCGGCCAAGCTGACGAGGCACAGCAGCATGATAAATAACATTAATTACACTTCTTAGAGGATTCTCATTACGGTTTGAGAACAACAAAAATGTCCGCTGGTGCTAATCCAACAAGTATTTCCATTTAGTCCCTTAATATGTTTTAAGATATGGCCTTACAGCACAGCTTCCACCCTGAACACCAATTACACTGGAGCCTAATCCCAGCTCTGCCACAGCCACTCGTGCTCCTTGGGGCATCTCCTCAGGCTTCCACTTTCCAGCCCATACATGGGACAAATGTCTTTTACCCCCTTCACAAGGGGGCAGGTTGTTCTTGACATCAGAAGGTCTGTGCTACTGTATCAGTGGCCTTGAGCAGAAGAAATCACTGAAGCTGATCAAACACTGACACTTGGCCCTGGGGAAGTTGTGGAATCTCCATTCACATGGAACTCAAAACCTCACTGGTGCAGTCCTGCTACTCTGGTCTAGCTGACCCTACCTCAGAAGGCAGCTGATGATCTCAAGAAGTCCCACCCAATCTAAACAATTCTGTGATTATTTCTATATTAGAATTTTTTTTTTTTTTTAATTTTTGGAAGAAACAACCCCACACCACAAAACAATGCATTTTCTGCTGAGAAGCTCTGCCAATTTCTTCTTGTCATGGAGCAGATGTCTCCTTCCAAAGTTCTACGAGAACAGTAAATTCTTTCCCCTGTTATTTAAGAATGCAATAATGTTTTGTGCAGTGTTATAAGAAATATAATGAGCTAAACCAGAAAGCAGTCCCAGAAAGGAAAACCACTAAATGGAAGTTTATAGTAAAGCTTTCTCTCTCCTTCCCCTCGAGGAACTAGAGTTAACAATAAAGAAGAAATGCATTAGTAGAAAGGAAGTGTAACTCATTTGTAGGTAAAATGATTCCCCTTTCTCCAATTCAATCCCACTGCCAGTATTATTGTTGTCATCTTCAGCTGACACTGGGGAGAGGGGGGAAATGTTACAGGAAGAAAACACTACTTGCAATGGAAAAAGGAGGAGTACAAGTGCAAAGGGTGGCATAACGATGCGTGTCGTGGCCTCCCTCCATTAGATGTCACCTGCCAAGGAAATGCCTTCAGGGACAGCAGAACTGGGAGCAACAAAAGCAAAACTGATTTCACAGGGGTTGATTGCTTTGTGAAGGCAGAACAGACCAGCTGGTTATGCTGGAGATACACCAGACTCATCCAACTGGATCTTTCCTGGTTTTAATTCCTAGATATCCAGCTCCCGTCACTTCAGGTTTACATGAGGAAATAAAGGTGCTGCAGATCTGTGTAGAGAGATTTCTCTAAGGGAATGAGAGAAAGGAAATTCAGGTTTGTACCACCTACAGTTCTTGATCCTAATCCTACAGTTAGGGCTTGCAATTACTAAGCTAAAAAGAGAAAATAAAACCCAGGAAAAATAATATCTTCAAATGTGCAAGATTTTTATCTGCTGTGTCATGGGATTTGGCCATTAAAGTGTAAGACAAGAGCAAGGATGAAAGCAGGAGACATCACATAAAATAGGTGAGTATAAAGCTCAATACACTTATCTTAGTGTTTAATTTTAATATATGGAGGAACAATTGTACAAAACTCCCCACAGCAAGTTCTTCCCCTTTCAGACTCTAGACACCAAAACAAATACTCACAAACTGTGCTGAATAATTCTTTGAAGTCTTTGATGGGACTTAGAGAAGCAGTCTATTATATTATTTCTTACATATTTAATAACACTTTAAAATCAGGGGGTTTTTAAACAATAAAGCTTTCAGAATTTGAGAACCACTGAAAACGTCCAAGGCAGCCCACGTGAATCTCCCCTGATTCGCCGCATGTGGTATGCACAGGTGGCACACCCTCACAAGTACAGTGCACCCAATCATTCCCACATTGATTCTGATTGTTCCCTGAGGGACTGAACAGCATCTGAGAGGCACAGTAAGAGCACAGTTCTTACCACATAGAGCTGCTTCCAGAGCACGGCCCATTCCTGCAGTGTCGCTGTGACCTCAGTCACAACAGAATCTTCAAGTGGAACAACTGTTTCATATTGCCTGCAGAAAAAGAGGGGGGGAAATTAGGAAAGGTAACTTGGAAAGGGCAGGAAAAGAAATAAATGTCAGCATAGTAATTTGTAAAATGCTAGAACCTGAATTTGTTCAACACAGAGAAGAATATCTTAGGAGGATCATTTTGTCTGTTGTAACACTGAGGCACTCCCAGGCTCATGTCAACTGTTCCTCCACCACATTCCACAAGAATAGGCTTGTGTGAAGCATTTCCTGGTTACTTGTTCAAAATGCACAATTTCATTTTCATCATGGTCAGTGGGGACAGTTTTCATTACTGCAGCACGTTAAATAAACTTGCCTGCAAAGTGGGGTCGTTCACAGTTTGTGTCCCTTCTACAAGCCAGTCCAATCCTTTCCCTCCTCCAGTTCATGTCAGCCAATATCATAAACTACCCAACATACCTGCTATCTGTTAACCTTTCTTATCAGAAGGGCTTTTTAATATTCTTAAATAGAGGGGCAGAATTTTTTACCAAGCATGAATTAACCATGCCCCCTGGTTCAGGGCTGCACTACATCCTGCTGTATCCACTGGTACACCAGGAGCTCACACTCCTTTTTAAAAAGCACATTGGCTTTCCTAGTAAATATCTGGATATCCTGAACTGGTTGCCCTTTACAAATTCTGAGCCAACATCAAGCACTAATTAACTACAGATTACAGGGTCTTCCCCCTAAGGAGAATATATGTTAAGAGTAGTTATTCTATGCAATATATATCATTTTATTACACTCAAAAATGATGAAGCATCAGTATTACAGCTGCCCTTACAATCTTTACTAATCCCTTTGGGGATAAACATACAATTCAAGACCATCAGAAGTCACCTGTTTTTGTACAGGTACTTCACTAAATGTCATTTAATAAGTTTTATCTTCCCTATTTAATTTGTTGCCTGGGGTCACTGTCTGAAACACTGCACTTAGAAATCTCCCCACAGCAGCCTTAATGTGGAATATGCAAGGAAAAGCAGCAGTGAAGACACAAGATATTGATTTCAGGAGCCCCAGTCAATCTCAGGGCAAACTCTGCAGGTTCCACAGCCCACACTCAGTCACGTCTCTGACATGGCATTACCACCACCATATTCACATTAACTCAAAATAATCTACCACCAGCAACACATGAGCTACAAACAAAGACAGGGAAGGTAAAATATTTTCAGCAGAGGGTACTCCACTCCTTTTTTGGATGGGTGTGGAGGGCTGGATCCTTTTGAAAAGGTTCAGAGTAACGAGAGATACCCTGTCAGTGATGTCTCCCTGAAAATCTGCTGATGAACAAGATGGGCTGCCAACTTACTGTGCCTCCATTACAAACAGGAACATACAGAATGTTGCCAGTGAGAAAACAAGTAGAAATGAAAAATATAAGCAGAGTTCTTTAAATGCCTGTGTTTCAGGTGATACCTCTGAAGTTACAATTTTATGGGCCAAAGTGAACAGGAGTAACCAGATCTGATTCTTGCTATATTAAAAACAAAAAAACCACCCCAAACTTTGCAGAATTACATTGAGCTTTCAAACCCTCATACACAAAAAAAGAGATACAATGAACTAAACCTCTCCACAAGTTTCAATAATTATTTCTTTGATTCCCTTCTAGATAAAAACCACTGTAGCTTCTCAGAAAGAAAGAAAGAAAAAACTCACCCTCTGTTACTGACAATTGCCTTTTTCAAGTGAATATAGTTGGCAGGAAAAATCCCCTGCAAGACAAAAAATTCTCTAAGTTAGAAAAATACACTTGCAGTTTTTAGCACTGATAACCTAAAGCCACAATAAATAATTGCCAATGCACCAGTCATAACAACCCAAACAACCCTAACAATGTGTCAAAGCTGCCAGTCAGTCAGAAGTCAATATTCAGATTAGTCACAATTGATCATTTCAGTCCCTCTCAGAGCAGGACAGCACACTGGATCAAACCGCCATGTAGGAAGATCAATTTTTTAATAAAGAAGTTCTGCAAGTCTGTTCAGTAAAAACACCTTACAAAAATTCAAGCTTGGTGCTGTGCATTCCCAAAAGCTCCTGGAGTGCTGGAAGCACTGTTACATGGGAAACATGCTCTGAGGTATTAAAAAAAAAAAAAACACAAAAAAAAAACCAACAAAAAAAACCATGACACAGACTGACAAAAGTGTCAGCAGTCAAGTGGGGGCTTTCAATTTTTAGAGCTTTAGAACTGCACAGTTTCGGAAGAAAACATTTCATGGGGAGGTTGAAAGGAATCCTAAGTAAAGATGATTCCAAATGCTAGGAAAAAAACTCCTTCATTTTCATAGGCAAGATTCTAAAATTGCAGAAGGAAGAAGAATGGGTCTAAAAGGAACGGTTTATGCAGGAAAAAAGTTAAGTGTGAATGCTTTCAGTCACTCCAAAATCTGGAAAAGGGAGAAATGCTATTTCAGCTTCTTGCTTGTTCACCTGCAGTTAATGCTGCTTCTTTCTGTGATCCTGGGGTTACCCAAGAAACCAGGGGAGGTTTGAAGGGCTCTCCTGTCAAATCTGAACATATACACAAACAGAGGATGTACCAAAACACACACAGGGACTGTAGGCTTTTCATTAAGGGAGTATTACAGTCAGGAAAATATAACACAGGCAATATTATCTTCCATAATGCAGGCAAACATGAGAAATCTGGTACTCTTCTCTCTTTAAATGCAAGCAATACTTAAACCAAAAGACAACGAAATGATGCTTGTATAGAGGCAGCTGTTTGCCTGTTGGGATACATACATTTATAAAAACGTAGATGCAGCCACAAAACAAAAAAATCATGTCAGAACAGTCAAAAGAGTTCTCCAAGAGCAAAACAAGGATATCACCGGAAAAATTGGAAAATAACCAAATACAGTGATGTTAAAAGGTCAAATCTGAAAAAAAGAACAAACTTTACAACGTATCCTTTGCCACTGGACTTTTTTCAAAGTTGCCTTAGAATAATGATGCAAATTATTAAATATGTTCTTTAAAAATCCTGGATTAAAGCAATTCAAGATCACCCACCTATGCTTTTCTTAGTAGAGAAGGGTGGAAAGGATCAAACCAGGTGAGATTCATAAATGTTGAAAAAAAATTCCACATTATATGTCAGGAAGGTTTCTGCTCCTCTGAGTGACTAATGAGTATCACTGTCTCAATTTAGAAAATGAATCCAGTCCTCCCACAGGAAAAAAGTTAAGAACAGTAAAATCTTAAGGGTAAGGAAAATGAAAAGTTTACTGGGTTGCAAGAGCAAAAGAGATTTAATTTCCCACTAGATGAACAAATGTATCCACGCTTACCTTGACGTTGGGCTTCTTAATGGAAACACCTCGGTACCAGCCTGAAACAGAGAAAACACACCCTGTTCATCTGTGGGTCAAACTGACTCAAACTATGCAATTATCGAGACCACCTCAAAACCCACGTAGGTCAAATTTTTAAAAAGGTTTTTTTGTTCATTTGGTGTTTTTTTAATTGTTATTACTTTGCTCTCTAAGGCTGACAAGCAATTAAGAACCTGCAATGCTGCTGTTTATTCCCACCAGGAATAAAAGCAGCTTAGGGCACTGTGATCCTGTTCTAACAATCATGAGCCACCTTGGCAACGATTCATTCAGCGCTCGGGCAAGAACCTGAAACGCTCCTCTCACACCCTGGGACAGCAGACTCTTTGTAGTGTTTATCTGGAAATCTCCAGTCTTCGGGAAGCTGTCCTTTTAAAGCCAGGCAAAGCCATTATCTCACATTTCTAATGTGGTTTAAACGTCCTCTCTGTGCCTGTGGGACCCAGAACGGGCTCGAGGGTGGAATTCACAAACCCAGTTATTGTTCTCCTACACCCCATCAATGAACAGCTCCAGACAGGACAATAAATGAGGAAGCTGCAAGTTAAAGAGGAGACTCCAGTTCCTCCTGTTGCACACAGGTGACTGTGATGTCACAAAATTTCACAGAAGATAAATCCAATTTCCATTAAAATTCCTCTCATTTTCCCACCAACTTCCTACTTTCTTTTTTTTTTTTTCCCCCCTCCAGACAGAAGACAGGTATAATTTAGATATAATTAAAAGAGCCCTAGCAAAACCTGTCAGTGATTTGCTATGGAGAACAGAGAAAAACAGAACTAACTGGGTGTTTTGTGTCTTTTAGAAAAAGTACCTCATATTTGCTGAATTATTATAATACAAGTCTCATTTAGAGGCTCAAAGGTGGGGAAGAGAGTCTTGATTTTATTTTAAAGACAATCAGATAGTCCTATTTTTTTTTTAAAAGAAATGTGGCTTCATATAAAATAAAATAATTAATGAATTCAAGACATTTGTTAATCCTGGTATGGAAAAATTTAAAATCCATCTTCGTTATTAGTCAAATATCTCATGAGGACAGGACAGAACACTAAGGCTTGTTTTCCTATGAAATTACTGACTATATTAAAAAAATAGGTGGTTTTTTTCAATTTAATTTCGGTGAACAAATTTCATGGGATTCCTATCAGTATAAACACACAGGCACAAACAACATATAGATCTTTACCATCAGTAATTTCTAAAACCCCACACAACTGTGCCTGCAACACCTTCTTTTGAGCAACAGATGCTGCAGATTTTTAGGGTCACAGAAAAAAAACCAAATGCATTTATCATGGGATTCACTGTTACCAATATTGAATACAGTCTGTACCTTAGAAATAATCATATATTTGAGTTCACAACAAACAGAATGGCAAACTTTTTGGTAATTAGGGGAAAAAGTGGTTTTATCTAAGTTTGTGAACAGACCTGTAAAAGACAGAACAAAACCCAGTGAAGGAGGTGACCATTAATAATTTAGATCTGCAGGGCAGAGAATGAAACACATTTCCAAAAAACTCCCTTATTTCTGAGTTTTCTGTTCTTCCTTCCAAAACAAAATTTCAAAGCCCCAAAGGTTTGTGTTTACAGAGCTGTGAAAAACAGGCAGGGAAGGACTCTGAGAAATCCCCCAGCTCATCCCAGCCGCTCCCTGAGCTGCTCCTCACAGAGCTTTAGTCTGGTTTTAACAGTGTACAATCATTTATTAGCAGGACTGAGCAACACAGCACTCCCTGCCTGTGGAAAATGATCCATAAATCTTCTGCAAAACCTACATTCCAAGGTATTTCTGCACAGAATTCCAAGGAAACAGAGTAAATTGCTGCTGCTCCACACAGACCAGTGTGAAAGAACTGGTGTTGCACAGGCACCTTTTTATTCCACAGATCAACACTGGCCAATAAAACTGCATCTAACAGTGACATTTCCATATAATACTTGGAAATCTAGAATATTTATGTTCAGTGGAGATGACCTGCAGAATGTACCCTTTGGCAGGTACATTTATACATTTGAAATGTGATATATTTCCCTTAAATCTTGTACATTGTGCTCTCCAGATCTTATGTAAAATGTATTTGCTTGTAATGAACACCCCCAAAAACTCATTCTGTACCTCAACGTAAAAGCTATGAGAAAAGATACAAAGCTTTTTTTGTTAAAAGCACATTTAGAAAATTGCATCTGCATTATGTTATTCCCTAAAATGAACTAACCCTGCATTCTGGAATTAAATACAATAATAGTCTTAAATACATTAATATTGATCTAATCATATATTTTAAAGAGCATTTGTTTTGGAGGATTTAATCACAACAGTCATCAAATCCAGGCAGGTGCTTCAGCTAATTGTGATCACAACATGCACTCCGTGGTTAGACCCCAATAATGATGTTACTGTCTGCAAATAACTACTGGCTAATACTTTGGAATTATGGCTTGCATTTCCTACTGATACCTGGCATTTAAAGGGCATTGACTTCACAAAAGTGGTGAAAGAGACGGGATTTCAAAATCAAGAAGAGAAAACCACAGCTATGAGGTGAATTTTGTGAATTAGTTAATTAGTTAATGTGAAGCAATGACCATGAAGTCCCCACCAACAATGAAGCTGGGGGGGGGGACACGGCTTGGACAGCTGACCTGAATCAGCCACAGGGCTATTCCATGCCATACACATCATGTGTTATAAGAAAAGCAAATATCAGTTAATTAGTAGTGCCATTCTAAGCAATGCCCTACTCAGAATAAGAACACTAAATATATCCCACACGAGTCTGATGAACTTCAAGTATTACATCATAGTCAAAATAAAATAGATAAAATGACAAAGACATCCCAGAATAGGCAAAAATACCTTCCAGGATACAGATGACCCTGCAAGCAAACTGTTTCACCTCACAAGGTGATGTTTAGACTCCAAACACAGGAGCCAGGAAAACCCACAAGCCCTTGCAGCTGCCTTTTTCAATACCATCTGATGGTATCTGATACAAGCTGAGGGAAATGAAGACTTTGCTGATGTACAGCCCTGCCCTCTGTACACTCTACACAGCAAATGATCTCTCAAAGATCTGCAAGGAGAATTAATTCCCTGGCAATAAACTGGAGAAAAACCCAAAGGCAAAGCACCCTGTTACTCCTGTTTGCCCTGCACGTTAAGATGACCACCTGGTTTCATTCCAAACACACTCTCTATTCACACATCCCCACTGTGGGGTACTTGCAGGTCAGGAATCAAAGCTCAGTTACTTCAGAGTGTATGAACCACACGTCCCTGTCCTTCCCTTGGTTTCCAGGGCTTTGGGAGCTGTAAGAAACAGCTGGGCTTCCTGCTCGGCTCTTCCAAGCCCTGGAATTCAACAAGGCCACAAAGAAGCAGGACAGGAAAATGGACTGGGACTGCATCACACATCAAAAACATGCTCAGGTGAAGACCACCTCTTTCACCCACAACTACCTGTGCCTGTGGAAACCCACAGTGTGGGAAGGTATATTAGAGAAACCTGCTAACTCCTGGATAAGGACTGAAAAGCAGTGTTTGCCAAGGCATGTCCCGCTCAGAAGTCACTCAGCAGTGCAGCAGTTAATCTGCAAAAGCAGCTCTGGGCCAGCTCTGCCCATCTCAATCTTCATGTGCGTGACTAGAAGAGCTACCAATGGTTTTTTGATCTTTTCTTGAAAGTGCCTTGAACAAAACAGGATATTCTAAAAGCCCCCTCTCAACCTCTTTCAGATGTCCACTTAATCCACAAGAGGTCTGTCACATGGAAAAAGTCTCGCCCCTTTAGAGGACTCAGTAGCAGAAAAGCAGAAGGGTCCTAATTGAAAGGTATTGATCTATTTTCCAGAAAAACAAGGCTCAAGTATCAGGGTTAAATAAAGAAGCATCGGCTGCAGAAAAAAAAACAATTCCACATATAAGAGAAAACAAATTCCAAATATAATTTCTTGACAAACAAAATTCTGAAAATAAACTACGTAAGTATTTATGGTAAACCCTAAAGCTAGAGTTTGTTTTTAAAAGAAAGCACTGCTACAGCGAAACCTGCTACAAGAACTCAAGCCTTTTTTATTCTACAAAAATAAGTATACTCTGCAGTAACGTGGTGACCCTCAAACCCAGAGCAAAGCTGTCTTTTGCATATATCAGCCAACAAACAATTGGGTTTACCTTGTAATCTGCAACTTAACTGCTGTGCAGAGCAAAGTGACCCAGGAGAGGGACGGGAACAGTGCTCAGCAAAAGCTTCTTGACGCTGCAGCCCCCAAGGCCAAGGCCCCTCTGTCGGAGCACTTGGCCCGGCGGGGCCAGGACAGGCCGAGCAGATGAAGGAGCGCAGATGAACAGCCCAGCCCAGCCCAGCCCAGCCCAGCCCAGCCTGCCAGCACCGCGTCAGGGAGCGGCCCCGAGCCAGCAGAGCCACAGCAACATGCTGATAAAGCTGCCACTGATGCCACAACCAAAGCAGAGGAGGGAGGATGTGCTTTATATCTTGGTCACAGCCAAACTGAGGGGCATCGAGAAGCCGCTCCCGTGGCTCCAAAAGGCTTTCAGGAGCTGGGCGAGATCTTCCGCAGCAGCCAAGGGCGTCCAAGAGACTGCAGCTCCATGAGCACACTCCACAGACGGCACAGAGCAAAAGGGATGAAAAGGCAAAAGGGAAAAGGGGTATTTCACTGCAGACATCTCTCTCAGTCTCAGGAAGGGGTTAATTTGGCCCAGCCAGCCACAGGATGGCTCCCAGCTCCAGGTGGAAGGAAACCTGCGTTGTTCCCACAGCCATGACAGGTTGAAGGGTGATTCCTCACTCATCTGATGGTAAAGACACCCCTTCTCAACTGAATTCATCAAAAACCCTAACTGCAAGCTGTATCTGCTGTTTAAGTGTCCCAAATACCAGAAACACTTAATTTGACCGTGTTGTCACTGCTGGAATAACAAAGGAAAACTTTAAATATATTACATGCGTGGTTTAAGACCACAGTTATTAACATACACACATGAAAATCATGTAAATAAATACTTGTGTGGATAGCAGAATTTGCATGGGTAAGATAACATTCTTCTAACTGGTGCTTCAGGAACAAGCTGGTGTTTCCATTCTTCAGTGAATATACAAGACTCTTAAGGTAATAATTAAAGTTACTGAAGTTGTAGCATTTTTAATCTAAAGAAAATCACCTCCCAGCAGTAAAAACAAATGGACAAAACAGACATTTTAAATTTGCTCTCAATATCACAGCAGTGGCAAGAGTCACATGACTTGAAAGAGAGGGTGTTCCTCTGAATGCACAGTCCACACGAGTATTTCAGACAGGGAATATGCTCATGCTCTGCCACTCGACACAAGAAAACTCCATCTTTCAGCATTTACAGGTGCCCCACTAATGCCACGCCCTTTCAGCCCCTCGAGGCACGGCAGGTAAAGAGAGAACTCCACCTGAGTGTTCCAGTTCTCTCTCAGTGGCGAGATCTGTAAGTACAAGGGCTCAGAGAAGGGAAAGCTGGGCAGGACAGTGATGTAGGGATTTGTGATCTGGTCTGGGGGCAGGCAGAGTGACAGGCACAGAGATTGATGGAAATCCAGAAGTTCCAATGTCAAGCACATGAACAAGATACATAACCAACAAAGGCACCTGCATTTCACTGCATTATATTTAAATACTGCACTGTATTTAAATGTTATCAATTAGTATTTATATTTATTAGCCTTACAGAGACAAATACATGTATATACATGTACATGTGTGTGTGTGTGCATGCACATATATTTGTTCCTTTACTCCACAAATACGTGTAAAATTTTGCTGCAGTGATACCCAAAAACCTGAAGTGCAGAATTCCCTCCTCTTTCATTCAACTGCTCTACAAGCAACGACTGCTTCTTACACCAGTCACCGCAAAAGAGCATTTGCTCTTTTGTAACACTAACACAGTTATTCACTAAGTTATTATGATTAAAAATAAGCACATTCAGAAGTAAAGCTACTGTTTGAATCTTTGTCAGCCCCGAATTCCTCAGCGAGTCTCCAAAATCGCACTTCACGTCACTGGAAGGTTTGTGTGTTCGTGAATCCCTTCAACCCTGACAGTAAAATCCCTGCTGCAGAGAACTATGCACAAACTATTCCAACAAAAAGTGAAGCAGAAACAGCAGTGCATCTTCTGTGCCTCTCACAGCAGTGACCCTTATTTTGTGTGGGTTAACATCACTTCATCCAGCCTGTCTACACAAAAGAACCACCAGCAAATACTGCAGAAGGAGAGGACCCTGTTAAACCACTTAGACAAGAATGCTTAAAAAGCAACTGCTTTCTTTCCTTCTAAGAACCTACTTTACACGTTTAGTGTGCTTTTTTGCATCATTCACACATGCAAGAGCTGCAGCACAGACCATCTGAATATTCAGATGAGTTTCACCGTGTGGAGTTCCAGATGTTATTATCACAATTAATATAGCTTTTTATACACACACAGTCCATGGTAAAGGAACCTCAACCAAAATGACAGGATGGAGGGCTTAAAACACAAACCCAAAACATTGTGTACAAACACCTTCTCCCCTCCAGGCAAACACTGTCTGAGGGCCTCCCTTCTCAGGAATGTGCAGACTGGCAGGAACTGCTTTTGAGGAATCATCCCCACAACCACCAGCCAAGGAAATATTCAGAGCCTAATTATTGTAACACTCTAAAGAGATGTTGGATTATCCCTTCGCTTCTCTACAAGCAATCTGCTGCTTGGAGATTGTGCTTTTATCTCCCAGGGTTTTAAAAGTTTCCTTGATTCCCAGAAATGGCTGGGAAATACCATGACTGCTTTCAACAACAAGCACTGTTTTACCTGACAGCTACACTATCCTATGCAAAGGAATCACTTTTACCCGAGCTTGCACCATGTATTAATTCACAAGACCCGGCAGAACAACTAAAATCAGCACTCAGTGCTTGAGTACAACTTGACCCATCACATCACAAGTGGGTTTTTAAAAAACACGACCACTTGCAGGTATGACAGTACAGGTATTGCTTACAGCATGTTTCTTCGTGGTTAAGAGTCCCTACTGCACCCCAAAACTCTCATTCAACAGAGAATTTTTACAAACCTAGGTGAAAAAGCTACTACTTTACTAGAATAATTAGCAAACAAAAATCCACAACTTTGTTGAATGTTAATTTAAAATTCAACTTTGTGGGTCTGGGGTTTAAATCTGTTTTAACACTTCAGGGTTGAGGTCACTACTCCACCTCAGATTACAGTGAAACACATTCTCACACTGTATCTTGTTAACCTACTTCTCCACAAACATTTTTTGCACGACTTGCTTGAGTATGAGGAGAAGAATAATTCTCCTTTTACACACAACCTCAGTCACACTCCTCATGTGAATAAAGCAGAGGATTAGGACATTCCCTTTATTCACAGGCAGACAAATCCAACCACACAGGAACTATAAAATTTACAGTGGTATTTTGCTTTAGGTACAAAAACACATGATGATAAATGCAAAACAATCTCCCCTAAAGTCATATTCTTTACATTTTTTCCATTATTAATAACCTATTTCATAGGTAATATTATTCATCTATTCAGATGTTTCTAAATAATAAACACCAATACACTGACTAGAAATGCATAACAGTAACACTGAGTAAAAAAAGATACTGATTCTGTACTTTACAAGATGAAAATTCAGTGTAAGACCCAATTACAATATAACAATCAGGTCAGGGTTCAAGATTTTCTGGACAGATGGTTAACTTAAAACACACTGACCCCCTATCAGACTGGATTAGTGCCAACAGCACTCAGCCTTTCCTACGGAAAGTGGGTCAGATTAGGTTTTATTCAAGTGCTCTGATTTGATGCATCATGATTTCCAAACAACTTATTAAAATCTGCTAGATTAAGATATTTGTATGCTCCTCTACAGAAGGGGCTCCTCCCCGGCTGTCCCACTTACCTTCACATTTCTCCAGGATCTGGACGGTCTCACCTAGCTCCAGGACCAAGCCCTGCGGAACCGTTCCTCGGAAGCTGCATATCACTGGAGGGTGGGGAAAGAGAGAGAGAGAGACATATGAGGCTTGAATCTTTGTGTGAATTTTCTTCTAAGCATAGCCCTTTAGCTCACTCCCTGCATAAAAATAGCTCTGACATAGCTGCCCAGAAAACCTGTCAGCCAACTTTTCCTCACCGGGTATCTTTGTTTCGGCCCTTCTCTGAAATTAAGCTCAACAACATCATAAAAGATGAGCTCTCTAAAAAGACTTTTTAATTAAGCAGAGCTTGTAATCACTTTAATCAGCAATCTCTGATTTATATTCCATACAAAGATTTCCTTGTTTCACTATTCTCACTCTACTCCACCAGCCACCAATGGAACAGGCAGCCCGAACTGCAGAGATTACAACAGGAACTCAGCTCCAGGAATTACTTCTCTCCAAGTTGAAACTATTTCAAAGACCATCTGTGCAACTAATGCCCTGCAAAAATCCTATCACACCATGCATTATATTTAAGTAGATACATGAAAGAATATATAAGGATCTGTACTTTTCAGAAACACTAACATGATATACATCTTACTTTTCCAGGTGTCTAGTTTTCATTAGCCAGGAGAAATAAGAACCCATCTTAATGTTTAAAAAATATTAATATAATCAATAAAAACACTAAATGGAACTCTATTTTAAAAAATAAACTTTAGAAGTATCAGTGTGTAATGATATATTCTTCAACTATATTTGTCAAAATTCAACAGGGACATGGCCATGGGTAGTTACCTCAAACATGACGTACCAAAACAAAACAAAGGATGAATTGCAGATAAGGTCCCACCCTCCCCCCAGAACCAGCATTTAGCACCCCCCCAGGCACAGACTGAATGTAATCATTCAAGTACCTTGTTCAAGGTAAACACACACTCAAGCCAGAGCCCACCCTGTTCATCACCTGCACTCACTGCAGCACTACAGGTGGAATTCCATGAGCTGAAATAGTGACCTCCAGTGGGCACCATCCTCTTCCCAATCTAAGAGAACACTCCCCTTGGAATGCCAGCACTCCAAGGGGTTTCCATGGGATGGAGATGCACATCACCTCCTCCATAAATACATTTTTATGTCAAAGCCATGAGTCCCTCGTGGGTCACAGCCCCTCTGTGCAGACCCTAAAGCTGTGAACCCAACAGGGGAAGAACACCATGGAAAACAACACTGTCACCCACAGCACCCATCACATCTGGAACCTTGCATTTCCAAGAAACAGTGAGAAAAGCATGGACAAAACTTCCACTAAAATAAAACAGGGTTTCAACCACACACACATAAAGGGAAAGGGCAAGAAGGAACAAACTACACAGACCAGGCAAACACTCACACAGATGGCCGGTGAGAAAGGGACTGAATCAAAATCCAAAGGGAACCAAACAGCATCCAGTGTTTGCACTTCCACTCTGAGACTCAATGCAGGGTTTAAATCCAAGAGTTAAAAACTAGGAATTTCATCAACAAACCCAAATCGCTCTCCCAGCCCTTATGGCCCAGCAGAAGTCACTGCCAGTTAAATGAGCTCTAAATTCTTGTTTACATCAGAGGCAGGAGAAACACAACAACTGGCTCCAGACTGGAATAATGCAGACAGCATAATCTGACAGAAACACTGGGCTTGTCAGCATTCTGGAGGCATTCTTCACCCATGAAGAAATCATAAATATGGATTTCAACCAAAGAAAAAACTATTTAAGGCTTCTCCCCAAGCGCAGGAACACTGACAACTGCAAAACGATGAACTGCCAAGACACAACCAAAGCTCCAATGGCTCCTCCCTGTCCCTCCAGTGTTTCAGATGGCTGGATCCTTCAAATACAGAAAGTGTTTTCCTTTTTTTTTCTCAGAGGGAATTTTGCCAGAACAAGAAGGTAATGAAAAAATCTTTTATTTTTGAGGTGTTTTGCAAAATACCGTCTTACATTAAAATAATATTACTTTTCCATTCAGAACAACAAAAATACTGCAACATTTTAAAGATATGGTCAGGAATGGTGGCATCAATATACTGAGGCTTACAAGAAGTAATTCTAATAGATCTGTTAGTCTGCAGATGCAAAGGATTCTACTGGTCACACAAAGAACATCTGATATCAGGACTCCATTGCATCAATATGTGATCAGCTCTTCAGAATTAAGAGCCCCCTATTAATAAGGCAGACAAAGCTCTTTTCTTTGGTCTACCTCACTCAGAAAAAGAAAGAGGTAAAAATCACAGAAGAGAAATGAGCCAATCCCATCAGCTCTAGATACAACTCCATGATCATACCCAATCAGAAAACCAGTTCTCACACAAAAATACCCCCCCTCAATGTTCCTCATTCTCAGTACAGCACTATGGAATTGAATTCCTTTGGTACCCATCAATGAGGAACGTGGGGCTCTTCTGTTTGACAACTTTTATAATCAACCAATAGGATCTGTGAATACAAATACAGATATTTTCAAAATAACAGAAGTCAAATCTCAAGGCTAGCTGACTTTCCAGCCACACTAAATGAAGCTCTGGAAAAATTAAAGAATCCAACTCAATTGACCCAATACACCAAATCATATCTTGCTAAACTGTGTAACAAGAGCAAAATTTAACATCTCTGAAGTAAAAAAGAATGGTAAAAAAAGTATTATGACAAAAATCACAGAAATTGGAGGTTATTTTATAGTCTGGTGTATGATTCCAAAGGTTACTTCCAAAGAGTTACAGATGTTACTCATCTGTTAAGCTAAAAATGCAAGATGCAACACAATGTTATTTATAAAGTCCCTTTTAGTCCCTTTCACTATGGAAAATAATGATCACAAGTGCATATGAGACATACAGAATAATTTAACTATTCTGGAGAAAATAATTTTTATTTAACTTGTAACTGCTCACTTCTGTCCCTTCTGCAGAGAAATTCTTTACACTACAAGATCATCTGCAAACTGCCCCTCAATCAGTAAGTCACCATTTCCTACAAGAGTCACCAGAACACATGAGTAACATGATGGACACAGGCAAAAAGCAAAAAGCTTCCACCCACCAGGGAGCAGATCTGACCAATCCCTCTTGGGCTCCAGGACAGACTGCTGAAACATTTAACATCTATTTTCAGAAATTAAAGCCCTTCCCATCATTCAGATCTATAAGGAGGTCAGAGTTCCCCTCATGAAATGGAATTTCTGCCAGCAGTTAAAGCCAACACTCTGCCAAAGAGGAACGCTTTGAAAAAGCACCACATGCCACATGATCCAGGAATCATCTGCAAGTCAGAAGTCCCTGAACTGAGGTACTTAAAGTGGACCACAGTGACAGAAACCCTTCCATCTTCACCTCTGTACTTTATTAATAGGAAAGGCACAAACTCATTCACACAGGCAGTTACTCTCAAGCTTTTCTGGACCAGAAAATATGAAGGGATTGGGGGATATAACACATAAGAACAGATGGCATTGTGATAACAGTCTGGAAAGACAAAGATCCAGGGGAGGACAGATTTAGAAGGGTTTTCCTTGCCTGTGGATGTGCCCTGACACAGGGTAAGCAGCTGCACTGTGAGTCACCAGCAGAAAGAGAAACTGCTGCAAAGATGAACTGGACCCGTTCAGCCAATGCACCTCTGGCCAGCTGATACAATTCAGGAGGTTTTACAAAATATGTTCTCAAACGGCCCCTGCCAAAAGTCTTGGAGAAACTGCATTTGCCTGTGATGAAGTGGGAAGGCATCTGCACATAAACAGCCAGCAAAGAGATGTGAAACAGAAATTGCCACTTTCCTTAGCGAGCACAGACTGACCAGCAGGCTCTAAAGGCACCTCTGTTGGAGCCTTTTCTGTTTAAAGTATTCCTAATGATCAAAAAAAGCTGATCATTCAGAGAAATGACGATGTTTATGAAGCCACTTCAGTTACTCAGGGTAGTAAAGAGCTGCAGATGGACCCGAGTACCACAAGTAAACTGGCAGATGTAGAGGATCCAGTTCATCTGGGTGGTGCTCCAGGAGGGATGAACAATCCTCACCTCATAGAATGACCATCTCCTCCTTCCTACTGCCACATGGAGGGAAACCCTGGATTGTTGGTCAGAGTTCCCCTCCCAATCTCAGTGCTCAGCCACTGCCAAGCACCACCCCACAACACAGAATATTGCCTGGGGGAAAAGGGGAGACACCATCACCCACAGCACTGGGTAAAACTCCCAGTGAACTCCAACGGGCCGGTTTTCCTCTCTCCCCTTTGACAAAACTTTACACTTCACCAAAAAGGACTGAACAGCACAGGAGAAGGGAGCAAGAAGAGAGACAAGAGATAGCAAGGACTGCAGAAGGGCTTTTATAGGATTGATTGTTAACCAAGATGGGACTCCTGTACCAGGAAGGCTGGAAGGGGTGGAGAGAGGATAACGGACAAGTTGCAGAGAAGGTGCACAGGGAACTGTTGCTCATCACCCCTTCCAGACCAAAAAGCAGAGCAGTGTCAAATGAAACAGCAGAGAGAGTTCAGAACTTGAACAAAGTACTGTTCCACACAGTGCATAAACCATGAGGCTGCTCCCAACATGCTGTGGGTGAAATAAAATTGAATATATCACTCAAGTTCAAAAGCCAACAGGACTAATTAATGGATGTGTCCCACCTTCAGCTCTGCAAGGCCCTGTCCCAAAAGGCACTCGAGCCTTGGGTTGGACTGTCAGCACCTGGCCAGGGTCAGGACACGGGGTGAGCCACAGACTCAGTGGCTGCACTGGTTTGAACTCTCTACACAGAACCCTGAACTTCTTTGTTCCGTCCTATCTATTGATTTGTGACCTCATCTGAACACTATTACAGAAACCAGGAGAGCCCAATTCACAGTGAAAGAAATGCTAAATTAGATTTCAAGTGTATCATTATTACCTTCTGCTGCCCCCCTAAACAACAGAGCTGGTTTCATTTCTGCTGTGGTATAATTCAAAGTGGATCTTACTCTCACAGTGCCTTCTAATTCAACTTCCTCTGTCCCAGCTGCCCCACCCAGT